ACAGAGTGAGACTTCATCTCAAAAAAAAAAAAAAAAATGGACAAAGGGCATGAACAAATATTTTTCAAAATAAGACATATAAATGGCTAACAAGCATATCAAAAATACTCAACATCACTAATCATCAGACAAATGGAAATTAAAACCACAGTGAGACACCATCTTGCAACAGTCAGACTGGCTATTATTAAAAAGTAAAACAAATAAGCAAAAGCCAAATATTGGTAAGGATGTGGAGAAAAGGAAACACTTATACAGTATTAGTGGGAATGTAAATTAGTGCAGCCTATATGGAAAACAGTATGGAGGTTTTTAAAAACTGAAAATAAAACTATCATTTGATCCAGCAATTCCACTACTGAGTATCTATCCAAAAGAAAAAAGTTATTATATCAAAAAAAATCTGTAGTTGTATGTTTATTGCAGTACTATTCACATTAGCAAGGATATGGAATCAACCTAAGTGTTCATCAACAAATGATTGAATAAATAAAACATTACACACAGACATACACACACACCATGAAATATTACTCAGTCATCAAAAAGAACAAAACCATGTATTTTGCAGCAACACTGAAATATCTTAGGTGAATGAATTCAGAAACAAAGTCAAATGCCACACGCTCTCACTTATAAGTGAGAGCTAAATAATGTATACACATGGATACAGCATGGAATAATAGACACTGGAGACTCAGAAAGGTGCAAAGGTAGTAGGGGTTAAGGAATGAGAAAGTACCTAAAGTATACAGTATACACTATTTAGGTGATGGTTACGTTGAAATCTCAGACTTCACCACTACAAAATATCCATGTAACAAATCTGAATTTAATACCTCCTAAATCTATATCTAAAAAGTTCTTATATCTTTTTAATTAATTGACTTCTTTATTATTATCAAGTGATTTTCTTTTTCCTTGAAAACATTATTTGCTCACAAATATATCTTTTAATGATATAATAGCTACTCCAATTTTCTTTTGATTAGTGTTAGTATGTTATATTATTTTCAGTTTTTTTAGTTGTATTTGTCTTTCTATTTAAAGTGTGTTTCTTACAGGCAGTGTATAGTTGAGGCTAACTTTTTATTAAACCTGACAATCTCTGCTTTTTCATATGGGGTATTTAGAACACCTACATTTATTGTGATTGGGTTTAAGTCTTTCCTTGACTATTTGTTTTCTATTTTTTTTAATCTATCCTATGTTTTGGGGCTTTTTTGCTTTCTTTAGAATTAAGCATCTTTTGTTTTATCTTCATTTTGGCTTACTATCTTAGTGGTTGCCTAAGTGTTTATATGATATATCTTTAACTTATCACAGTTTACTTTTAAATGATATTTTATAACTATGTGCATAGTAGAAGAACAATAATTATTTGTACATTTTTCCCTTTAAGTCTTTGTGTTATTGTCGCCATACATTTTGCTTTATATTGTCATTATTTTTTTGCTCTAAGCAGTTGATTATCATGTAAAGATATATAAAAAAGAAAGAAAAATCTAAAATTTATCTACATTGTTGAAGTTTCTAGTACTCTTCATATGTCTATGGAAATCTAAATTTTCATCTGGTATCATTTTGTTTTTCTTCAAGTGTTTCCTTTGACATCTCATAGTGTAAATCTGCTGGTAACATATTCTATCATCTCTTGTTTATCTGAAAAATATTTTAATTTTACTTTTGTATTTGAAAAACATTTTTACAGGTTAAGGAATTCTAGACTGACAGGTTTTTTTTCCTATACCTTATGATGTTGCTTTATTGTCTCCGGTTTGCGTTGCTTCTGAAGAGAATCTGCTGTCATCCTTATCTTTGGTTTTCTATATGCAATGTGGTTTTTCCCCATTTAGCTCTTTTTAAGATGTTATCTTTACTAGTTTTAAGCAATTTAATTATGATGTGTCTTGATGTTGCTTTCTTCACATTTCTTGTGTTTTGCTGAGCTTTTGGGGTTTACTTTTTTTTTATTTTTAATTTTAAAGATGGGTGCAATTCAGGGTTAGGCATATACATGGTCATTGGACAGGTAAAGTTTGGACCTCACTTTGGTCCCCACTTAACCTGTTTTGAGATAACATACCTTTATTGATGAAGTGTACCTCCTCCTTCCTCCCATGGCAGTTTCCCACTGCTGCCAATCCTTTTCTTATAGTATTAGGATAATTGTTCAGGATCTGCTTATGAGTGAGAACATGTGGTACTCAGTTCTTTGTTTCTGTGATAGATCACTGACTATTATAGACTCTAAATCAATCCAAGTTGCTGAGAAGTTCAAAATTGTGTCCATCTTCATGGCTACATAATATTCTATCAGGTATATGTACCACATTTTTAAAATTCAGTCCACTTTCAATGGACAGCATGGTTGGTTTCATGTTTTTGTTATTGTCAATAATGCCACAATAAACATGTGTGTGCAGGTGTCTTTTCATAAAGTGATTTGAGTTCTTCTGGGTATATTCCCAGAAAGGGAATTGCTGGGTCATATGGAAGATCAATTTTTAGATCTTTTAGGAATCGCCAAATTGTTTTCTATAGAGGTTGTACTAGTTTACACTCTCACCAACAGTGTAGAAGTGCTCCCTTTTCGCTGCATCCTCTCCAGCATCTGTTGTTTTCTGAGTTATTGCTGATGGCTATTCTGAAGTTAGGTGGTATCTCGGTGTGGCTCTAATTTGCATTTCTTTGATGACTAGTAAGGCTGAACATTTTTTTCATGTATCTGTTGGCTGTCTTATGTCGTCTTTTGAGAAGTTCTATTAGTCTATGAGTTTATTACTTTTGTCAAATTTGGAAAATTTTTAGCCATTATTCTTCAAATGTTAGTTCTGTTTTTATTTTCTTAACTTCAGGGACTCAAATTAGCTATGAATTATGCTAACTGAAGTTATGCTCACCACTCATTAAGGTGCTGTTCATTTGTTTCATTTTCAAATCTCTTTAGTTTTTTTTAATCATTGCTACTTATATGTCACTAATTTTTCTTCTGAAATGTCTAATTGCTGTTAATCCCTGTCAGAGAGGTCTTTAGTTTTCCCCCTCAAATACGGTAGTTTTCAATGTCTAGAGGTTCAATATCGGCTTTACAAAGGTTTTTTGTGTCTCTCCTTAACATGTTCATCTTTTCTTCTAACTTCTTAAATAAACAAAATAGAAATAAAATTATAATAATTGTTTTAATGAACTTCCCTAGGAATACTATCATGCGTGCCATTTTTGGGTCTATTTTGATTGACATTTATCCTCACTATAGGTTGTATTTTCTACTTCTTTGTATACCTGATATATATATATATATATTTATTTTTATATTTTATATTTTTATGTTTTTATATTTTTTATACTTTTATATTTTATATTTTTATATTTTATATTTTTATTTTTATATTTTATTTTTTATATTTATTTTATATGTATATATATTTTTTTTAATTGGATATCAGACATTGTCAATTTTAACTTGTTGCATGCTGGAAATTTTGCATTCCTAGAAATAGTCTTCACCTTTGTTCTGGTAAGTAATTTAATTATTTGGAGGTAGTGGTCTTTTAGATCTTGGTTTTGAGCCTTGCTAAGTGATACTAAAAAGAGCCTAGTCCAGGGGTAATTTTTTTCTTCTGATGAGACAAAACTTCTGAGGACTCTATCTCATTACTGATTAATTTTAAGGTTTTAAAATCTGGCTTATAGGCACAGGCATTCTTATCAGCCTTTGAGAGTACACTAGGTTTTTTTCTCTAATTATTTGTGTTGTGCTCCATACCCCGGTCTCAGGTAGCTTCCTCGCATGCATTTTTAAGGCAGTATTCCTCTAAATATTTATTTTTATTTATTTTTATTTTTTATTTTTGAGTTGGAGTCTCACTCGGTTGCCCAGACTGGAATGCAGTGGCCGCTCCCGGCCACTGCAGCCTCAACCTGCTGGGCTCCAGCAATCCTTCTGCTTCAGCCTTCCAAGTAACCGGAATTACAGGCATGCGCTACCATGTCCAGCTGATTTTTTGATTAATTGTAGAGATGAGGTCTCGCTGCCCAGGCGGGTCTCGAACTTGCGGGCTCAGGCAGTCCACTCACCTCAGCCTCCCAAAGGCTCGGGATTACAGGCTGAGCCACCGAGCCTGGCTCCTCTAAATATTTAAAGAGGGCTCTCTGTAGGTCTCTGCAGATCTTTAGAGGTTTTGTGTATGTGTACATCTGTGTGTGTGCGTGCACACATTCCTTTTTGGTATTCTGACCTTTGAATGCTAGCTATCTTGACCTTCCTGGGCTCCCAACTGTCTCTCTTCAACTTGGTGAGACCACTTATCCTAGGTGGTAAGTTGCTCACAGAATTACAGATTCTAACTCATTTGTCCCCATCTTTCCATCTCTCATGAGTCACTGTTCTTTATAATTTGATGTCCAATGAATTTAGAACCACATTTACTTTTTAAAGTTGCTTCTGAAAAGGTAAACAGGGTAACTCTGTTTTCTTTTATTACATCCAAAAAGTAAACAGGGTAACTCTGTTTTCTTTTATTACATTCTGGACAGAAGTAGGAGTAAACCATAAATATTTTTATCTTTGTTCTGAGAGGGACTTAAATCACTTGAAAATAGCTTCACAGTTTTAGGGTTTGTTTTTATGCTTTGTTAGTCTCAGGTTGATTTTTCTCCAACTTTGAAGTAACAGTCTTTGAGTATTCTATCAGATGCTCCATTAAAGGACAAAATATACCTCACTTAAAAAGTCTTATTGGTAACCTTTCTTTTTCCCCTTTCTCCCTGGCTCCATTCAGGATTCCTGTCCCTACCATGAACACCCAAATAATTTAAGCACAAGATTCTTATAAATCTTGAAGAACCAACCATACTATTACTGCAATTTCTTGATAATACTAAAAAGAGACACATTTTAGAAAGTGGAGCTACAGATCTTGGGGCAGGATTTAGAAATTTAAGATATAAAACCCGGGACAGATAAGTGGAACAATTAGGGACTGATTTTCAGTAACCCTAAGAAAAGGTGGTGAACTATTCTTATCATCCTGGCACTTTGCAATGGAGAAGAGGTGGTACATTCCCAACAATGCTGGTTCTGAGATTGAGGGATCACCATGGGAGCACAAAAAAGACAGTTCTGCTGCCAGGACACCCAAACATGGAGCATCAACACTTGGCTAATGGAGAAAGAAAAGAGAAAATGCGTTTGCTGTGCATAGTCAGCATTAAATATCTGCATCTGATCCTGTGATATATCAGTCTAGAATTAGATGCTAAGCTTCACAGTTTACAAAATCTGCATTCAAACCCAGCTTTGTTACTGAGTCTCAATGTCCTTATCTGTGAAATGAAGATCATGAATGCAACTTTGTAAGGGGGAATCCTTATGACAAGAAAGAAAGCTTCTAGCAAAGTGCTTAGAAATATTAGTGATTCAGCTAATGATAGTTTCTATTCCATGAAGCAGGTAGAAACATGCTAGTAGTATATTACCAGGGTATGAGTAAATAAAGCAGGATGTGGCTTTCCCAAATAATATTTATTGTTATTTTAACTTTGTGGGACTATATGTGCAGGTTAGTTACATAGATATATTCCATGATGGTGAGGTTTGGGCTTCTATTTTAAGCTTTCACTTAAGTAGTGAATGTGGTAACAATAGGTAGCTTTTCAACCCTGGCCCCTCTGCCTCCTTTCCTCCTAAAGAAGTCCCCAGTGTCTGTTCTCATCTAGACGTCTGTATGTTCCCAGTTTTAGCTCCCACTTATAACTGAAAACATGCAGTATATGGTTTTCTGCTTCTGCATTAATTGACTTAGAATAATGGTGTCCGGATGCATCCATATTGCTGCAAAGGACATGATTACATTATTTTAATGACTGTGTTAATATTCCATTGTGTATATGTACTGCATTTGCTTTATCCATTCCGCCATTGATGGACACTTAGATTGGTTTCATGTCTTTGCTGCTATGAATAATGCTGTGATAAACAAAGACAAGTGTCTTTGTAGTACAACAATTTATGTTCCTTTGAGTATATACTCAGTAATGGGATTGTTGAGTTAAGTGGTAACTATTTTTACCTCTCTTGAGAAATCTTCAAACTGTTCTTCATAGGGGCTGAACTAGTTTACATTCCCACTAGCAGTACATGAGCATCGCCTTTTCTTTACAACCTCAATATCTGTTGTTGTTATTGTTTTTGACTTATTAATAATAGTCATTCTGACTGGTGTGAGATGGTATCTCATTGTGATTTTTATTTGCATTTCTCTGATGAAATTGAACATTTTTTCATGTTTGTTGGTGACTTGTATGTCTTCTTTGGAGAAGTGTCTGTTCATATTCTTTAATTTTTTTCTTGTCAATTTGTTTGTGTTCCTTATAGATTCTGGATATTAGTCCTTTGTCAGGTGCATAGTTTGCAAATATTTTCTCCCTTTTGGAGGTTGTCTATTTATTCTATTGAAAAGTTATTTTGCTGTGCAGAAGTCCTTTCATTTAATTAGGCCCCACATGGCAAATTTTGCTTTGCTACATTTGTTTTTGAGGACTTAGTCATACATTTATTGCCTAGGCTGATGTCTGGAACAGTGTTTGCTATGTTTCTCCTAAGATTTTTATAGTTTGAGAGCTTGCATTTGAGTTGTAATCATCTTTACTTTCTTTTTTATGATTTATTTTTATTATAAAGATGTGGGGTACAATTCAAGATTAGGTAGACTAACATTGATTATGCAGGTACCCTTGTTGATGAGGTATGCCTCTCCCTCCACCTAGCAGTTTCCCTCAACTACCAATCCCACCCCTCCCTCCCCTGACAGTTTCCCACTACTGTCAATTCCTTTATTAGAGTATTATAATTGTTCACGTTTGCTGGGAGCCATAATCTCTAGTAAAAGTGAGGTAAAAGGGACCTGAAAACAGGAAAAATGCCGGCTGGGAGCAGCCACGATGGAGGCAAAGCCCCATGGATCCTGTTGACGGACCTTCCCTAACTTTGAAGGATTGCGTGCATAGGCTTGAGAATGTTCCTTCTTTAATTGAGATAATAGATGCACAGATGGATGATGGCATTTGACAGCAAAAATTATACATAGGCGTAATGAAGGTGAGATTGTAGCAAAAAGGGTGCTCCTTAGGGTGTGTAAGGATGTTTTTCAGTAAACAGCAGGAGGCCGAGAAAAACAAGTTGACCACTTCCTCATATAAAACAGACCCCACCTGAGAGCTGGTGGAAAATAGCCGTTTGAGATAAAAAACAGATCAAGATATTTTAGGAATAAATAAGTAGTTTAATGAAGATAGAATTTAGAATTTTAATAACAAGAGAGGAAGATAAGATAAACTAGTAAGATAAGAGATATATAATAGTATAAGTGATAGTTAAGAAAATATAGGGATAGAAGGATAGAAATAAGATTAATAAAAATAAACGTATAGTAGTAAGTAAATTAAATAAGACTTAGGGTTAAGGTTTAGCTTTATAGGGTAAGGATTTTATAGGCTTATAACAGTAAATAGTTATAAGAAAGTTAGGAAGAAAACCAGAATGTTCATAAATGTTTGACTTAAGAAAAACACCATCTGTAGTTAAAATTGTTAAAGGTCAACCTTATTGTGAGTGCAAAAAGGATGTACGTGGGCGTTTGGTTAGCAACATAAGATACATTTGTGGGTGCAAGGCTGAGTGGAAAACCTATATAAGCTTGTGAAAAATAAATAGAAATTGGCAGAGTCTTGAACACTACCCCAGCAGGTGACTCCTGTCATTCTTCTTCGCCGTTCCTGATTCTCCCCATTCAGGCCCTGACTCTCTCCTGGAACTGGACTCTAGCAGGTGCCGCCCCTGAACAGGGACCTGATTGCGGGGAAGTATAATTTTTATGTCATTTCAGGAACGGACTTTGTCCTGAGTGTGCTACAGACCCCCTGTGAGTGAGTGCAGGAAAGGATAGGACAAATAGCCAGAACTTTTGAGATGTTATTGTGCCTCTTTAAGACGTTGAAAAGTAATCGTGTCTAAACTTTTGAGATGTTGTAATGCCTCTTTAAAAGAAGTTGAGAAGTTAGCGTGTCTCTTTAAGAGTATTTTGGAATTTGAGAAGTTGTTGTGCCTCTTTAAAAGAAGTAATTATGGGTCGTTCGGGTTCTAAGGAAAGGAAAGCATATTTGAGAATAATAGGAAGAACATTACAACACGAAGGTATTAAGGTTAGTAAAGATAAGCTTAATTCATTTTTAGATTTTGTGCAGAAAGTAAGTCCTTGGATTCCTGACTAGGGAACCTTGGATTTGGAGATTTGGGATCAGGTTGGAAAAAATATTAAAAAATGGTATTCTACTAATGGAGGGACTCAGATGCCTGAGGATGCTTATTCTTTGTGGAATGTTTTGACACAGGTGCTTATGACTACTCCTTACTATGGTACCTTTTCCCAACCTGAGTCAACTGTCACCCCATTGCTTAGGAGAACATCTTCTCGAGCCTCTAAAATTATATTAACCCAGGAAGAGGAGCGGTCCGAGTCTGAGGAGGAGGAAGAGAAGGGGAAGCCTTTAAGCATGTTGAACAACATTTATTTGCATGCTTTGCTGTCTTGGGGATACCTTGGGCATTAAAGACAGACAACGCTCCTGCCTATACCTCTAAAGCATTTCAGGATTTTTGTACAACATTTAGAATATCTCATTCTACAGGAATTCCTTATAACCCCCAAGGGCAAGCTATTGTGGAACGAGCCCATCAAACCTTAAAACATCAGCTTACTAAATTGCAAGAAGGAGATTATAAATATGTTTCCTCTCATCACGTTTTAAGTCATGCTTTATTTGTAATTAATCATTTAAATGTTAATTATGTAGGAGAGTCAGCCTTTTCACGACATGTTACCATAAACAAAAAACAAACCTTCCCATTGGTTAGGTGGAAGGACTTGCTCACTGGAGAGTGGTGAGATCCTGATATTTTACTAACGTCCGGATAAGGATTTGCTTGTGTCTTTCCCCAGAACGCCGATTCACCTGTGTGGGTGCCTGATCGATTCATCCATCACCACCATGAGCTACCCGTTTGTCAAGCCCATGCCACCGAAGTGGACCAAACGAAAAGTGCCTTCCCTGCTTCCCTCTCCACCGCACCGGAAAGTGACTGAATATTTTAGCCCCTCTGACAGTGAAGAGGGAACTTCTGTACCAGCTCAAAAAATGCCACAACCACTTTCTTTATCATCTCCTGATTCTCCAGTAGATTTTTCTTCAGCCAGCTCAACATCCACATCGGCTCCTGCTGAACTGCCAGACGCATCTCCTGCAGTTCTTGCATTGTTCTCCAGGCTGTCCTTGAGATCTCACAGACACCAGCTCTCCAGATGAACTAGGACTTCTAGACTACCTACTTGGGGCCAGCTGAAGACCCTGGCAGAAGAGGCAGAGGAACTGGTCGCATCCCAAGGATATACTGTCAACTCAAGAACTTTGTTTGTGGCCATGCTCGCGGTCATAACTGCTCAGGTATTGTCCCCCACTGGGTGTCATGCTGCCACAGTGTTAAAAGATGATTCCCCAAGCTATTGGGCTTATGTACCTGATCCACCCTTATTCCATCTGGTAACTTGGAACGAACTTACCATTTAGGTTTTTACTAATAACAGCGAGTTGATGGGAGGAGAAAGTTCTTCATTTATGTCCACCAGAATGGTTACTAATGTAAACTATACGGGCATAACAGGGACTCCTATTTGTTTTTTCCCTGGTTTTTCCTGGTCTGGGTGTGTACTTTTAAAACAGAGATCTATATTAACAGATTCCCCCTCCAGGTGTCTTAACAATATATGGGGGCTCTCTTTTTTTCATGCTGCAGTATTTTTAGTAATAATGGAATATATACGGAGGGCCCATATATACCAAATAATTTTACTTCCTGCAAGGACCATACTTATGTCATGCATAATTGGAATGATGTAGATATTAATTCAGGTTTTCCAAGGTGGAGACCATGTGTATCTGATAAAGTGGTATTCTACAATTTATTCAAGCTGTCTGATCAGATTCCCCTTCAAATGTATTCTTTTGCCAAGGTATATGATTGGTCAGTTTCTCATCCAGTGTCATCTGGAACTATTAACACTCCAGGTCCATCTTTTTGAGAATTCCTAAAAAGAGAAAATGGACAGTCTAAATATGCTTGGAACATTACTCATCCACCAATACCTCTCCCAGCACTATTAGATACATGGTCAGTTTATGGATGGGCTACTCCGATTTTTCAAAGCTCTTTGCCAAATAGCTCTTATCAGCCTCATCTATTTCATTTATTCGCTGCAACAGGACTTGTTACCTTACATAGACCCAGAACAAATGTTAATTTTGTGTTACAAGCTTGTGTAGATTCCCCTTATGTTCTAGTAATTGCTGGACAACATTCTACTTATTCTGTTAAGTATATTTTTGGTCATTTCAAAATTATTTGTGAAAACTGTTCCTTATCTAATTGTATTACTAAAAATCCTGCACAGGTATTTTTGTTAAAGCACCCAATGTATGTATTTGTACCTGTTAAATTGTCTGTGCCTTGGTATGCCACCCCTGGAACATATATCTCGTGACTTCTTCTTTAGCTAGATCTTGTAGATTTGTGGTTACCCTTATATTGGAAATTATGTCTCTGATTACTATAATGGGGTCCATATCAACCTCTGCAGAGGGCTTAATACAGGAAATGCATACTGTGGAGCATGTGAACGAACTGTCTCAGAATGTTAGTTTAGTTTTATTTACCCAAGAACAGATAGATAAAAGTATTATTGATAGATTAAATGCTTTAGAATCAGCGTTATTATATATAGGTAATCAGATACAGAATATTAAAGTGCGGATGTCTGTTGCTTGTCATGCAGAATTTAAAAGGATTTGTGTTACTCCCATGCCTTATAATGGGCAAAATATTAGTTGGGCTGATGTCCAAAAACATTTACAGGGAGTTTGGAGTTTTACCAATTCAACTTTAAATCTCCAGCAGTTACGTAGCCAAATTACAGCTATGTCCCAGGCTCATTTATCTCCAACACCGTTTTCTCAGGCAGCGTCTAAATTTGCAAATTCTCTCACTCGGTTTGTTTCTTCCAACTCTCTTTGGAATTTGATATATAATTTCATAGCAACTGGATCAATTGTTCTCTTTTTACTGCTATTTTACCAATCATTATTCAAAGATTAAGAAAAACTGTCTGATGAAATACCAACACCATCAACCTTGCCATTTTAAAAAATAAAAAAGGGGAGATGCTGGGAGCTGCAATCACTAGTAAAAGTAAGGTAAAAGGGACCTGAAAACAGGAAAAATGCCGGCTGGGAGCAAGGCCCCAGTAAAATGCAGCCATGACGGAGGCAAAGCCCCATGGATCCTGTTGACGGACCTTCCCTAACTTTGAAGGATTGCGTGCATAGGCTTCACGTTCCACTTATGAGTGAGAACATAAGGTACTCTGTTCTTTGTTTCTGTGATAGATTGTTGAGTATGATCGACTCTAAATCCATCCAGTTGCTGTGAAGTCTATAGGTTTGTCTTTCTTTATGGCTGCATAATATTCCATTATGGATATGTACCACATTTTTTTTATCCAGCCCAGCTTTGATGGGCAGCATGGTTGGGTCCATGTTTTTGCTGCAACAAGCATACATGTAGAATGAATTGAGTTCCTCCAGGTATATTCCCAATAGGGGAGTTGCTGGGTCATATGGAAGGTCAATTACTAATTCTTTCAGAAATCAACACACTGTCTTCCAAAGAGGTTGCACTAGTTTGCATTCCTACCAGCAGTGTAGAAGCATTCTTTTCTCTCCGCATCCTCATCAGTATCTGTCGTTGTTTGTTTTATTAATGATGGCCATTCTTACTGGGATTAGGTGGTATCTCAATGTGGTCTTGATTTGCATTTCTCTGATGATGAGTGAGGCTGAGCACTTTTTCATATGTCTGTTGGCTGCCCATATATCTTCTTTTGAGAAGTGTCTATTCATGTATTTTACCCACTTTTTAATGGGGCTATTTGTTTTTTTCCTTTTGGTGCATTTGAGTTCCTTGTAGATTCTAGATGTTAGACCTTAGTCAGGTATACAGTTGGAAAATATTTTTTCCCTTTCTTTGGGCAGTCTCATTTGTCTATCATATTTCTTAAGGTATGGGCATTAGGGTTCTGAATAGGAATTGGTTGCCAGTTCCAATTTCCGTAAGGGTAGCTCCTGTGTTTTCTAAGATTCTTATAGTTTGAGGTTTTACATTTAGATCTGTGATCCATTTAGGGTTAACTTTTGTGTATGGTGATAGGTAGGGGTCCTGTTTCCATCTTCTGCTTGTGATCAGCCAGTTTTCCCAGCACCATTTACTGAATAGGTTCTACTCTCCCCAGTGGTTGTTGTTGGAGCCTTTGTCAAAGATAAGCTGGTTGAGAAACTGAAGCTTTGCTTCCAGAATCTGTATCCTGTTCCATTGGTCTGTATGCCTGTTCTTGTACCAATACCAGGCTGTTTTGATTACTGTAGCCTTATAGTAAAGTTTGAAGTCTGGATGTGTGATACCTCCTGCTTTGCTTCTTTTGCTAAGTATTGTTTTGGCTATTCATGGTTGTTTCTGTTTCCATAGGAATTTCTGTATTATCATTTCCAGGTTGAGAAGAATGATGTGGATAACTTAATGGGTATTGCATTGAATCTGTCAATTGCCTTTAATAGAATGGACATTAAGCAATGTTGATTCTTCCTATCCATGAGCATGGAATATTTTTCCATTTGTTTGTGTCTTCTTGGATTTCTTTGAGCAGTGTTTTTAAGTTCTCATTGTAAAGGTCTTTTGCTTCTCTGGTTAGGAAGATGCCAAGGTATTTCATTTTTTTGTGTGGTTATTGTTTATGGGATTGTACTTTTAATTTGAGTCTCTGCCTGCTTGTTGTTGGTGTATAGGAAGGCAACTGTCTTTTGTACATTTATTTTGTGCAAAATAATAACCCTGAGACTTTGCCAAAGTCCTTTATCAGTGCAAGCAGGTTTTTGACAGATTCTCTTGGATTTTCAAGGTATAGGATCATATCATCAGCAAAGAGGGATAACTTGATTTCCTCTTTTCCTATTTGGATACCCCTGATTTCCTTCTCTTGTCTAATTGCCTTAGCTAGGGCTTCTAACACAATGTTGAACAAAAGGGGTGAAAGTGGGCAGCTTTGTCTTGTTCCAGTGTTCAGAGAAAAGGTTTATGTTAGCTGTGGGTTTTGTCATAAATGGCATTTACTATTTTGAGATGTGTTCCTTATATATCTAGGTGTTTGAGGGTTTTATCAAGAAGTAATGCTGGATTTTATCAAAAGTTTTTCTGTATCTATTGATATAATCATGTGGTTCTTGTTTTTACATCTGTCTATGTATTCAATTACATTTATGGTCTTGTGAATGTTGAACCAGTCCTGCATCCTGGGGATGAAGCCACTTGGTCATGATGGATAATTTTTGAGATGTGTTTTTGGATCCAATTTGCTAGAATCTTGTTGAGAATTTTTGCATCTATGTTCATAAGGGATATTGGCCTGTAGTCCTCTTTTGTTGTTGGATCTTTACTCAGTTTGGATATCAGTGTGATATTAGCTACCAAAATGATTTGGGGAGAATTCCATCCTTCTCAATTGCCTGGAATACTTTCAGTAGGATTGATATCAGCTCCTATTTGTATACTTTGTAGAATTCTGATGGAAAGCCATCTGGTCCAAGGCTTTTTCTTTTGGTAGTAATTTTCGTATGACAAAATCAATTTCCTGGGTTGTTATTAGTCTATTTAGTGACTCAATGTCTTCTTGTTTCAACCTGGGGAGGTTGTGTGATATCCGAAGCTCCTCCATTTCATTTAGGTTATCAAGTTTGTTTCCATATAGGTGTACATAGTAATCTCTCATAATCTTCTGTCAGGGTCAATTATGATTTGATCTTTTGTATTTCTGATTGTGTTTGTTTGGGTTTGTTCTCTCTTTATCTTGGTCATTCTGGCTAGGGTCTTGTTAATTCTTTCAAAGAAACAGCTTTTTGTTTTGTTGATGTTTTCTATGACATTTTTGTCTTCTATGTTCTGTATTTGGGTTATTTTGGTATTTGGATTCTTCTGCTAAAGTTGGGATTTTGGTGGTCTTCTCTTTAGTTAGGTGATTTGTTAGGTTCTCCATTTGTGATCTTTCCATTTTCTTGATGTGTGCTCATAGAGATATAAATTCCCCTCTTAGAACTGCCTCCATGGCATCCCAGAGGTTTTGCAAAGATGTTTCTTCATTTCCATTTGTCTCCAGG